CAGATGGAGGGCCGCAGCCCACCGCCCACCCAGGACCTCGACAGCAGCCCTCCCCAGACACGTAAACTCACCGACACACTCGGTTTTTGCACGTAATCCGACCACGTTCCAGAAGAGCAGCACGAGGGCTGCGGTGCTTTTCACCCCCACCCCCTCGACAAAGCACAGCTGCACCACCAGGCACGAACTGCTCGGCACCACGGGCACACACAGGTGAGGAAATCAGGCAGGAACCAACAGCCCACCCCAGAAGGGCTCCAACTGGGAGTGCCCCACCCAGGGAGCAGCTTCTAACGACTGCTCCAAACAAAGAATAAAGTAGAAAAACATTCCAATTTTGTTAGCATAAGATTTGTATACAAACTGGCTCATGGCAGACTGCAAGCCACTGCCCTCTTTGGCACTCTACACTTCTTAGACCTCCACGTCGCAAGCCAACCTTTCCTAAGATGCAAGACTGAAGCTGGTGATGGCAGAGGACAGAAGAAAAGGTTCCTTCTGGCAGCTTGGCACTGTTCTACAGAAGCAACAACAAACAGGAGGCCACCAAGTCGTGAGCAAAAGTGAATGAGAAACCCCTCACACTATGGCACTCAGCTTCATAGCACCACTTTTCATTTTTAAGTACTTCCAGGCGCAATTTTGGGCAAGCCAGGAGCATCATCCACAGTAGTAACGCAAAATTACTTCAGTGCACTTACCTCAGATTGAAGAGTCCCAAAGCAGACACTGAGCAGCCACACAGGAGATGTGGAACCTTCGGCCACCGATAACCATTTGTCCCACACAAAGAAACTGCACAGAAGAAGAGAAATTCACATCACAGCTGCCAGCACTCTACTAACAAGGGCAGCTGGCCTCAGCCCTCATGGAGGCCAAAGAACACTGAAATTTAAAGAAACCTGCACCCAAATACTTGCTGCCAATGACTGAAGTGCACATTTGACTTCTCCCAGCATGTGCATCTCCCCTCCAGCTTTGTTTCAGATTGAATCCCATTTTAACTGATTTCTTTTGTCACCACATGGGTTTACATTAGCCTCTCTCCCACCATGGTGGCTCCCACACTTGTTCTGCTGGATCCTGGCACCGCAGCCACCTCTGCACAGGGCTGCCACACATGGCTTTAGATTCAGGCAGTAATTTACACTCCATGTGGAAGCACCTCGCACAGCCAGGCACATGTGCCACCAACAACAGCTCTAGAATTACTGAGCAGGATTAGGAATAAAGTTTGACCTTCCAAGGGTAACTGAATAGTTCTACTGTAACGGCACTGCTATCAGGAGGTAAACTGTTCCATTCAAAAAGAAAAAAAAAAAAGGAACATTTTTCAATCATCCCTTTTACTTCTATTCAGTACATATTCATAAGTGTTTGCTTGAATTACACACAGCACCAGGGTCACAAAACCACCTTGAGGAGAATGGGTCGTGGAAGGCAGGTACAAAACCAAAAGGAAATCCCAACCTTCTCCTTTCTGGGGAAAAGTCACAAGTGGGAAGAGAGATTTTCCTGACATGACTTAAAACAAATGTTTTTTTGTTGTTGTTGTTGCTTTTCCTTTGGCCTAAAACCAAAATTCTTAATAAAAAGAAGGTGGGCAATTAAGTTTACAGACACGAGAATAATGGAATTATAATCAGCTCTGAACTGTGGTGAGATTACTATTTCCTTTTCTGTGCCAAAGTTTCAGTGACTTTCTGTAAAAGAATTCAACTTTCTCTTCAGCAAGGAGTTGCAATGGTGCATGTTCCACATTTCCAAGGTGACCAGTTTCATTAAGACTTGCTAAAAAACTTCAAAGATCTAAATTATTTGGTGTGGTGCTTCATCCTATCGTGAATGTAAGCAAGTGACGAAGCAGAAAGAACATATTAGAACATTCATATAAATAGCAACTCTTCGGAATCAGCTATAAAAAGATGACACTTCTGACAGCTGTTACAATGCATCAAGTAAACAGCATCTGCCATTTCAACAGCAGGACTGTCACAACGCCTGTACCATCAGTACAGGACAGAACTATTGCAAATAAGACGCAGGTTCCCATTTTACAGGAAATGTTTAATTTTCCATTCTATTTTCCATCTCAAAAGCTGAGACAACACAATTGAAAATGTCAAGGCAATGTTCCTTAAAAGAAGAGAATCATCTCCTACTTCCTAAGTGGGGAGATTGAAAGACAAGAATATGTGTCACACGCATGATGGCAGGGAGGCACCACAGCCAGAAGACTGAGCCATACCCTTCTTCAGAATATTTCTTAGAACCCCCGGGCCGTGCAGATGGAAACGCTGGCTCCTGAGCAGGCGAGAACCATGGGCACACAATGCCAAGCTGCAGGATGTGCCAAGAGCACAGCTGTTAGGATGAAGGATTTTCCTTCTGTGTTTCTCTCAGTTCTGGTGTCTGCTCCTCCTGACTTTCCTTCTTCTCTTGCAACTCTTCCAACACGGTTTGAAGTTGCAGACGGAGTACAGAATCCCTGGCTTCCGCTTCCTGATGATCTTGTTGTGCTACCTACAGTTAATGACAGATGATCACAATAAAAAAACAGGGCTGAAAAAGTTTGTCAAAGCATGACTGAAGAGAGCAACAGAAAGCAACTGCCAGTTTGCTTGCCCAGAAAAGCTGAGAGATAAGTTGTGACTCATGCTTAGACTATTATAAAGGTGCAACACTGTCTCAAAGCACAACCATAGCCAGAAACTCAAAATGAGATTGCTGACCTTGAGGTAAAAGATAAAAGACAGATACTGATCTCATCTTCCTACACGCTCATAGGACATCATACTTTAACTAGAACCAATTTCTGCTCCTTTTCAGCCTCTCTTATAGAAAAAACACTGTGGATGCTTAGCCCAGGGATGACTGGATAATGAGGAAAACGAAGGGCATATTACAATAGAAAATAACAACTGAGTTTGGCTTACTTTATCTGTTCCTCGTCTCTGCAGAATTATCCCACTGGCTAAAAGGGCTTTTCCCGTTTCTTCAAACAGGTTTTCCTCTTCGATTTTTCCTTCTTCTTTCAATTCATTGTATTTCTCAACAAACCTACATTTCAAGATTGTACTTTCACTCTCACTAATACCATTTTGGTTTGCTGACCCAAGGGGAGACAGGGACGAGTTTCAGGAATATTTTTAGTCTGATTTAAAAAAACTAGAACTCTTACCTTTGGCAAGTAGATTTGTACTTTGGTTGTGATAGATCAAAAGGTTTGGGACCGCTGCCATATATTTTATAAAATTTCCTATTTAAAAACCAAAAACCAGTGTGTAAAGCAATTTAAAAGAGACACGTTTAGAAGTAAATTAACACGATCAGAGCCAGACTACAAAAGGAGGACTTCACAAAAGCCTCACTCTGTTTACCATTGGGCATTAGACCTCGCACACTCCAGCACTTAGCCGCAGCGCTGCGCTCCTGCTAACTTACACCCCGCAGCGCCGCGGGAGCACCGCAACTTCTGCGCGGGGGCTCCGCTCAGGCCACGCGCGGCGCCTTCAGGCCGTTCCGCTTTCACCCGATGCCTGACCACCCCTGCGAACGCACAACGCCGCGCGGCTCCCCCACGGCACGGCCACGCAGTAGCGGCCCCGCAGCGGCCCGGAGACGGCAGCGACAGCGACGCTCCCGCAGCGCCCCGCAGCGGCACAGCCACGCGCTCACCGAAGGGCCGCGCGGCCCCAACGCGGGCGGGGACTCACGCTCGCACTTCGTCCTCCCGGTAGAGGATGGGCGGCACGACGCCCGTCGCCTTGCCGTAGCGCGGTCGGGGCACGCGGTACAGCGGCTCGCGGAGCGGGGGGAAGGCGGCGTACACGTCGAACCACAGCGGCTTCTGGATGACGCCGATGCGCAGCAAATTGCGGGTCCTGCGGGCGGCAGGCACGGCTCAGGGCCCACCCCTTCCTCGGCCCTCCCTCCCCGCAGCCCACGACCACCACGCTCGCCCTCCCGACGCTCCCCGTACCGGCTAAACACGCTCCCGGTCTTCTGCATGCGGTTCCCCGCCATGGCGGCGGCCTAGGCCTCCCCTAGCAACGGTGCCACCCTAGCAACGAGCTGCCCCACCGCCCGGAAGCGGAAACGCTCTCCCGTTGGGCCGCCGACCAATCCGCTGCCAGGGCGTGCCGAGGGCGGGAGGTAGCGCGTAGACAGAAGCAGCCGATAGCCGAGCTGCGGATCGGCCCCCTCCGCCATTTAAAGGGCCAGCGCTGCTGACCCAAAGCCGAGACTAAAAGTCCTGAAATGGGTCCCAGGAGCAGTTGTTACCCCGCTACGCTCCTAGAGCATGTGCACGGAGGTGCTGCCCTGAAGCACCTCCAGTATCACCGTGATTCTACCACAGTTTTTAGTTCTGGGCTTCTCCTGGGCACAGTTTTTTTAAAAACACAGTTCTGAAACAAAACCCCTGCTCACAGAGAGCAGAATTCAGGAGTGCTGCAGCTGTTCCAGGACAGGGCAGGCCCCTCCCCGCCCTGATTTCTTCTTTTCTCCCCCTGTAAAATAACAGCAGCTAAAAGCAAAGTGCTGCAGTGTTAAGAGTACAACAGGACTTTATTATATGAATTACTATTAAACATCTTTAAGAAAAAAAAAATCACTTATGGAAATAAATTCTAAAAGAGCAACATTCACACACACCACAGACTTCTGTTGTTCTTTTTAAAACATTTCGTACAGAAGTGATAGAAACGTCACTGAGAACTGTATAGCTTTATGCAAGAAATTCATTTTGGCTCCCAAGCTGGTTGTAGGGGCCTTTCTGCTTGTTAGACCTGATTCACTGTTGTTTTAAAGGAGATAAAAATAGCCGCTCTTCATCGTCCATTGAAATGATGTTTTGTGCCTCCAAGGTATTTTAAAATGGCCGCAGTGACATCACTCAGAGCTGCGCAGCACAGGCTGGGACAGCTCAGGGCACGTTGTTAGAGCACATCCCTGACCCCAGAGCAGCCGCAGCCGCTGGGACAGCAGCTCACAGCCCACAGGAGCCCCTGCTGCACTGCCTGTCTGTGCTTCCTGCATGCATGAAAACTTTGCTGCGAGTTAAGCCCTTGGTAGCTCAGAAGTACTGGAATGTTTAAAAGCTGATCCAATTCCAAGCTTGGTTTTTTTCCAACTACACAGCACTGCTTTGGGTTGGGAGGGAGCAGTGGTGTCCTTCCTCTATCTGAGAGCCAGCCTCAGGCTGGGGGTAGCAGCCCCCAGCTCCTGCTCCAGCAGCAAAGCCACAGCTTCACGCCTTGCCCCGTGCCATGTGGGACATGCACCTCTCCAGATGCTGACCCTACTCAGAGCAGCAGTGCCTCCCCAGTACCTCCCTGCACCCCATTCCCACCACCTAAAGTCACCTTGGGGATAAGGCCAGTGCGGTGTGGCACTGCTGCAGCCCCCACTTCAAAGGGGACACCATTGCCCCTTCCTTAAAAAGGAGCAGAATCAAAGCTGGGCTCAGACCTGAGGGCAGCTCCTTCGAGGAGCTCCAACCGTGGTGCAAGCAGCTCACAGCAGCACTGATGGCAGGTGGTTCCCTGCATCACTCAGCTCCGTGGCAGCACTCAACAGGTGCACTGTGGCTGTGGGGAAAAATGTTGGCATCCACTTCAAAGGGGATGCAGGGAGGATTTGGGAGGAGCCCGCCAGGAGCCAGAGCAATGTGGGCTTTGTTAGCAATCCCACAGAGAGGCAGGGACGGCAGTTGCGTGCATGTCTGGTGGATGAGATTCTGCGTCTGCCGCCTTCGCAGCACAAATCTTAAAACATTTGTGCTGGTTCACAGGAGCCAGAAAGCAGAACAGGCATGTCTGCAGCCACCTCCTGATTGAGCAGTAAACAGATTATGCTGATAAAGAAAATGTGCTGGCGGGAGCGAATTCTGACTTAGTGCTCGTCACTCGTTACTTACACAAGGAAGGAATTTGTTTACGTAATTATTTTTAGCCTGACAGCATCTCAGGATGCTGCAGAGATCCAAGCGCTGCTTCCCCGCTGCCCCTGCACTCTCCTGGAAAAACGATCCCCAAGGCTGGGAGAGCTTCTCCTGCCCCACACCGGCTCATTGTGTCAAAAACATCACCACCAGCCCCAGCTGCAAACCCCAAATCTGCACCTTATCAATGGCAGTGGATGTCCCTGCCCGGCCCTGGAAACACTACTGGAGCACTGCACCCAACAGGACATGTCCTGGCCCGGCCGCTGCACCAGTGCAGATCCAGCCCTTGGTGCTGCCCCACAGGGAGCAAGGCAGTGAGGGTCCAACTTCAAGGCAGTTTGAGCGATGCCAAAGGCAAAGATTTAATGCAAAGGGAAATGCCTTGGAAAAGAAGGCCTTTCCTTTTATAAACAACTTATATTATTTCACTATTACCTGATCTGAATCTCTGCTTTTTACTCCTAGCAATAGTAGACGACAGTTTTTAGTTTCTTTCTTGTGTGTTTTCTTTTCCTGCGTGCACAGAGGAAAATTACATCAGATCACCAGAGATATGCACAGGGATGCTCCGCCAGGCAGCTCCCACAGCCGGGGCATCCCCTCAGCACAGCCCATGTGCACTCTTCTGGCAGCACTGTGTGGATCCCACGCATAGGAGGGACGGCTCCTCCCTGAGTCCCAGACCCACCAGCTCCAATGCCACAGCTCACACCAGCTGCCAGCTGTTTCCTTTTCTCTCCTTTTTTTGGCTGATTTGCTAGATAGGAGTTGTTGTTTTCAAACCTCTGAGAAGAAACTTTGTGCCTCACTTCAACGTTTGTACTTCAGAGGAGTACAACAGCAGAGGGGGAACAGCCAAAAAACTGGGTTATTTGTCAGTGGGTGTTTGTTTTTTTCCTTTTTTCAGCCATCTTCTTCTTAAGCCCTTTGCACATTCTGTGCCAGCAATAAACCCCAGCGCTGGGACCTGGAGGGGAGGAGACCAGGAGGAGGAAGAACAGTGTGTGCTCAGCCTCAGCTGCACCACGGCCAGCACTGTCCCATCACGGCGCTGGAGCTGTCACCAGCCACAGCACCACAGCCCTCACCATTTATTGCCCTTCCTTCAGTGTCTCCTCCTCTTCCCGGAGCTGCTGCCGCCGTGCTTGAAAATCTTCATCTGAAAGGAAGAAGCAGATGAGTCAGGGTCTGCAACTACCCCACATGTGATGCCAGTCCCATACCAGCAAGGTGGCACAGTATGGCATGGCATGGCACAACACGGCACAGCTCAGAATGGCACAGCACAGAGTGGCACAGCCTTTCTTACCACATGAGTGTCCTTCAACGTCATCAAGAAGATTTGCTGTGGATGCAGCTGTCCCCAGCCTGCACGCTCTGCTAAGGAAAACCAGGGCATGGTCATAGCACCACAAACTGCTCCCCACAGCCCACAGATGTGGGGGCACCTGGAGATGCTCCTCTCTGAACTGCAGCCTCACAAAATCCCCAGAATCACCCGCATTCCTCCAGCAGTCCCAGCTACCAGGGGCAAATGACAACAAGCCCCTTTTAGGATACACCTGGTGCTTCAACAAGTGTTTTCTTTTTGACTTCCTCATCTTCGTCTTCTCGGAGAAGGCTCTGGCGAGTTCAAACAGCTTCTTGCGCGTTGCTGGAAGGAAACAGCCCAGTGAGGGTCTCACCGTAAACTCCCCAAAGAGCTGCCAGGGGTGGTGGGGAGGAGACAGCTATGGGCAAGAGCCACTGGTGCTGGAAGCAGCCACTGTAGTGCTGGGCACCAAGAACCAGGTCCTGCCACTAGTGGCCTCAGGCCACTTTCACTGGGATTTCTGTGGTATTCCCTACCCATGTCTACCCCAGGCCATCCCAGTGGGTCTTGGCCAGCTGCAGTCTGTTTCAGGCTGCCCAAGTTCTTTGTTTTGCAATGGGAGAAGCAAACTGTGGCAGGCTTAAGAGGAAAGGGAGAGCTATAGCAAACTCCTCTGCTTCCTCTTCTGGGATTCCCAACACCATCTGCATCATCAACACACACCACAAAATATCCACGTGCTCCTCTAGCCCATCATGGGCTTCCTGCTGCCAGACTGGAGCCTGGAAACCAACTCACATTTTCCCATGTGTTTCAGTTTGTCTCTGAATAAGGCATCGTCAGACACAGCACTGCTGGCCTCGCTGGTTCCAGGAGGGGCTACATCACCTGGAAGGCAAACATTTGGGCATCATCAGCACATCTGGTCACTGGCAGAGCCAAGTAACAGTGAGCAGGAAAAGGGCACAGCACTCCACACCCAGTTCTGGGTAACAAAACCCCTCTGAGATCTGGGGTGCAGAAACCCTGAGGGCAGTGACTCCAACTTGCAGCTGAGTGGCTGCATCTTGCCCAACCCAGCCCCACTTAGAGACATGGACAGCTACCAGTGCTAATTCTGTCCCCAGGCAGCTGCCTCACTACTGAGGTTAATCAGGATTACTTGGGAACAGTCATTACGTCTCCCAGGCACAATCCTCTGCTCCCATCAAGACAGTAGGCTTTGTCACCCCTGGGAACTGGGCCCAGGGGAAGAACAGAGGCAGGACATGGTAGTGGCTGGGTGAGGAGGGCACATGCACCCAGCTCCATCACCTGTCTGCCCCACTGCCTTGTGCTTTTAGGAGCTCTGTGCAGTAGGGAGGGACCAGCTGGGTTCCTCCCCAGGCAGCCACATCGCACAGCATGGCACAGCATGGCATGGCACTTTGGGTGGAGCTTTGGAGCATTCCCCGATGACAGGAGATACTCTTGTGCATTTTGAAATTACCTGGTATTATGGAGGAGAAACAGAAATCATTGCTGACAGCAGCACTGGTCGACTTGGATTTTTTTGACTCGTATTTTAGTCGATCTGAAAAACAAAAAGCCCTGGTAAGACTCTCGAGGCAGCGCACACAGTTTCATGCTCCTTGTCCGTACATGCCCACTGCACTCAGTCCCTGCAGCAGCAAACGGACAAGCTCTGCCACACCCCAAGGATGTCAAACATCTTCACACCACAGCTGGGAGCAGTGGGAGCAAGCAGGCAGCCTCCCCCTAGCACTATCACTGCTGCAACACAGCGACCGCAGGCACTCTGTGGGAGCCCACAGCAGAGGAAGTGAGCGCCCGCCAAAACGTGGTGGTTTTCCAGCTGCAGCGGATGGGGATGAGGCTGACACACCGCAGTAGGAGCAGGTCTGCCTGAAAAGCAGACAGAGGTTCCTAGAGATGCTTCTCACCTCTCTCCAGGGCAAGGAGGAAGTCCCGGTTCCTTTGCAGCTCCTTCATGAACTCCTCGTTCTGCAGGAAGAGCGCAATCCGCTCATCCTCCAGGTACTGCTTCCACCTCCTCTCCTGCTCCAGGGAGCCCTGGCTCCGTGGCACAGGCTGCCGGCATCCAGAAGAGCCCTGTGCAAGAGGAAACACAGGCGGAAAGGTTGGTCCATGGCCACAGCACAAAGCTGCTGGAGCCCACATGTCTGACACCAACACCAGGCAGAGCCAGGGGGACACCGCTGCGTGGGAGCTTAGCCCCTGATGTGGGCATCATCTGGAAGAGCTCTTTTTCAGATCAGCATAGGGTTGAAGCAAGATGTGGAAGTGAAGGAGAAAGCCAGCATCACTGCTTTAATTTTGCCCAACTAAAAGGAGAAGACTGCAATTTCCTGCTGGCAGTGCCCCGGTGCTCACACTCTCTCTCACGCTCCCCAGCTCCCACTGCATCCATACATGTGGAAGAGCAGAGCCACACTGCACAGGATCAATCTCTCCCTTGCCTACAGTATCTATCTACAATATCTACTGCTGCTCTCTAAGTGCCATAAAAAGCAAAAGAACACAATTACCAGAGAAGAGAAGGGCAGCTGCTTCTCTCTCCCCTGAGCTCCAGTGAAATGCTACGTTTCTATTCCCAGAAAGGTATTATAGCCTGAGAAGCTCAACTTTCAGGCAATTATGTATGGCAACGTAGCAGGCTGCCTTCGGCACCAAAAAGGGTAGGGAAAAGCTGATGCATCTGCACACCTCCTGACAAACTAGGAGGGCACCAGTCCTATTGCAGGGGTGCAAAGTGGCCATGGGATGCTCAGGGGATGTGGAGCAGCCAAAACTGAGCTGGTGCCCTCTTAGGCTGTGCTCGGTCCCCATAGGGTGTTGTAGTGCCAGCCTCAAAACTGCCAAGGAGAGTATGAGTACCCCGATTTCCAATGTGTATGTGAGGATTTTGTACCTCACATCAATGCTGTACCCAAGAGCACTGGCTGGTCCTACTGTTTCCCAGCAGAGCAACAGAGCTGATTTTCAAAGCGATCAGAAGTAACCCACGACTCTTGGTCGTGCCACAGGGGCTTGGGGTTGGTGCTCACCTGTGTGCAGGCAGCTTGCTGGGGTAGGATACGCAGGAAGTCCTCAGGGAGGTTGCCCAGCAGTGGTGGGTTCCAGTTCCTGTAGCGGCCAGGCCCCGGCACATCTGTCCTGCAGTGAGCACAGCCAGAGACTTTAGCCAGAGGGAACTCAAACACCATCAAATGCTGTGGTGTAGGGACCTGTGTCAGCAGCCACGTGCCCAGCTCCCCAGGCATTGTCCAGGGGCTGGAAAATCTCATTGTGCCTAGCTATCCTACAGACCCACAGCCCTTCCCTGCCACAGACATGAGGGCTCCTCGTGCCAAGAGATAAGAGGTGTCAGACCCCAACCACACAGCACCTGGTGTTCTCCAGAGGCAGCAAGCACTCCCTGCATCCAGGAGCTGATTTTTGCAAGTCTTCTCACTTCACGGGCAGCTCTCTTGCCCCCTCAGCTGTTCATGTTTTAGGACCATTTTTTATCCAGCTGCAAGCTTCCTTCATCTCCCCTGACTTCGTACTAAGCACATGCAGCAGACTCACCTGGGTGGGGGGGTGGGAGGTGCATGTGGACTGCTCAGCACCTGGCTCTCATAGGCTGGGGGGGAGTACACTGGGGGAGGCTCCTCATCCGAGCTGTCTGGCTCCAGGGTGCGCTCAAGGATCTGGGGAGAGAGGAGGAGAGGGAGAGGGTGAGCCAAGCAGTGCTGCGGGGAGGATGGGGCCAACATGCACTGGGCAGGTTTGGGGCACTGTTCTGTACGGAAGAGGCACTGCATTTTGGCACAGTGAGGCAGGAGCCAAAGGCCTTCTATTGGTTTTGGGAAAGAAAGGAGGGAGGAGAGTGGTTTGACTCAAGCCTCAAGCACTGACAGAGGCCAACCAGCCAGGCTGCATGCTACAAACTGGCCAAGTCAGCATTCAGATGGCTGTCAAGGGGCACCCACGTCAGCCACGAAGTGCAGTTGCAGGCCTGCAAGGACATGGACTCCACTGTCCTTCCCTTACACCCAGTCGTGCAGGGGGCAGAAATGAGACAGAATGAGCCCAAGCCAGACACAGCAGTACCTCAGGGGGAATGCTGTCCTCCGAGTCCGAGCTGTCCTCACAGCCGCTGCCATCCAGGTTCATCTGGAGGAGCTGGTCGATGGTGGCATCCACGGCACCGTTGTTGGCCCTCAAAACGCACTCAATGATGTCATAGTCCATATTGGGGAACATGGTCTTGAAGTCCTCCATGGCCTGGTTGAACTCCAGCCGGCGCACCTGCCTGGCAGGGCGGCTGTTGTTGAGCTCCTGCGCCGAGGAGCCGCCGCGTGAGCCGCCATTGCTGCTGCTGCGCCGAAAGAGGCTCGTCATGGCGGCGGTGCTGGTGAGGTGGGCACCTCGTCACGGGGCAAGGCCCCGGCTGCCGGCCGGGAGCATGGGTGGGCGGCGGGGGCACTGCTCCCCACAGCCAGAGCTCCACACGTCAGCCCCCGGCACGCTGCAGCATCCCAGCACCTGCGGGCACAGGGAGATGTCACAAAGTTACCTCTGGTGAGACGTGGGGCCCCAAGAAAGGCGGCAGCTTTGAGCTCCCCAGAGCCAGAACCAGCAGCACAAGGCACATTTTTGGCAGCCACCTTCGTATGAAGCCCACCTCAGAAATCCCCCCCTTCTGGTGTTTTTTGCTTTCTGTTGGAGAGAGGAGTAAGATTTATAATTTCTTCCTTTTGTGGTTCTGCCCTATTTGCTCAACCTCAGCACTTGGCCAGGAAGCTGCAGGCAGGGGCTGCAAGAGGGCACCATTGGTGTGAAGAAAGCACCCAGGGCACAGTAAGATCTCAGAGGGGGAAATTCAATTAAACCCAAACTATTCAACTGCATCCCCGTGTGCACGGCACGTCCCCCAGGAGGGCATCCAGGAGCTCAGGTCACTGTGCCAGGCGCCTTACAAACCAAACACTGCAAGGGGAGAAAAATGGCACCACTTGCACTGCAGAGGGCCCCACAGATTGAACATTCCCGGGTTTGACATTTGTTTATAAACACGGTGAAATCTCTCTTTAAAATAAAAGATGGAGTCATCTCAGTGCAGGGGGCTAAAGCATTTTGCAGCACAGCAAATCGACCCTTGGGAAAAGCCACCAAATCCAAGATTAACGTTCACTTTAAAACCATAAACAGATTATATACAGCTACTGCCTCTCATTTGGAAATGCAGGGACAAATTCAGTTCTGGATTAACTCCACCGTTTAAAAAGAATTACCCCAGGAACACTTTTGATCCATAATATCATTTTCAAAGGCTTTTTCCCAAGTAGCAGGCGGAGAGTTCAAGATAACTGTCCCTACATTTGTATTTAATTGAGAAGAACAAGCCAAGCACATTTCTTAGTAAAACACTGCGTAATCAGATTGAAACCCATTAAGCACAGTGGCCGCCTCTGAAGGTCACCTGGTGCCCCACGCCTTGCACAGGGCCATGCTGCACGTGGGAGCCCAGCCCTGGGGATCACCAGGAAGTGCCTCATCCCAGCCCTGTCGGTCAGGCTTTGCTTTGGCATGCTGGGAGCAGTTATGAGGCTTTGGGCAACTCAGTTACATTGAGCCCACGCCAGATAGCGTGACTGGGAGCAGCCGCCTGCAGAATAATTGAAAGCTTCTGGTCCTAAAATGAAAAAAAATGAGGGATGGTGACATTTGAACACCAAAAAGGCTCTGCTGCATGTCTGGCTCTGAGCAACACCGAGGGACTGCATCGTGAAGACATCCTGCTGATGATGTGGAGAAATGAAAAGCACTACATCATCGTGAGTTAAAATCTGGAGAAAAGCAAGTCACCTATTGGCACGCCTTAACTAAAAAGCTGAAAGTTCCATGCCCAGGATCTTCTTCTGTCCCTGTGCTCAGAGTGGGAAGCAGAATCCCCACTGCTGGCTGCTACCTCAATGCCAACGAGGGGCTGGGAGGGTGCCAGGAAAAGCAAAATCCTTTAGATTGCCCAAAAAGGAAGGATGTTGGCGGCCAACTGTGACCTGAGGCGAGGGCAGAGCCCAATACCTTGCAGAACGGACCTGTGGCATGGGCTGCTGCCTGCAGGCTCACCTCTGTAGGCTGCAGCCACACCACGCAGCAGGCCGTGCCCACAGAGTGCCCAGGCACAGGGCCGGCACAGCCGGGTGATCCCAGGGGCCAGGCACTCCACAGCTCCATGCTGGGAACAGCAGTTGCTCAGATCTGCTGAAAGCAGTCCTGGTGAAGGAGCCAACAGCTGTAACAGCAGCGGGACCGACTGCTCCCAGCCCTCATAGCTCAGGGAAAAGCCTTGGCACCAATGGAAGAGGAATGTTCTTTCCCAGTGTCTGCTGTGGCTCAGACAACAGATGGGGTTGTTTAAAGGCAGCTGAACAGGAACAGCCCCTTTTCTCCTGCTATTGCCATGCTGCATTCGTAGGCTGTCCCCACTCAGAGCCTTGGAGGGAAAACTCTCAGAGTAAGACTCAAAGTGGAGGCGTTAAGCCAAAAATCACTGCTTCAACCCCAGGGCTCTGCCTTCAGCCAGGCCCCTCAAAGGGACTACACCACAACGGATCTCGGATCTTTGTGCTCAGGGACTGCTTGGTGGTGGAGGTGTCTGCCCAGCACCGACTGTAATAGGATTAAAGCCAGGATGAAAAGGAAATGATTAGGAACAAAAATTAGTGCGTACCAGCACATTGAAATTCAGAGCACACCCTGGGGACGTGCAGGATGTGTCTGCCTTAAGTCTCCAAAATCTCCTCTGTCACCTTTCCGTTCTCTCCAGCAGCCATGCACATACCTCCAGGTCTGTGCCTGTGCTCTGATCCTTTCACACAGAAACAGGCAGGCATATGAGCTGCATTTGAGGATCTGCCTGTGGCACGGACACACTGTGACAACCTTGCTGAGGACACAGGTGGGTTTGGACACGGGCACTCGTCCAGCAGCTGTGGTGCCTTCCTTGAGGTGCCAGAGTCCCAGATCGGGGTTTCCCTGTGGCTAATCCCAGATTTCGAGTGCATTTGCCATGCTACAATTACAACCCCCACCCTTTCAAATGAGGCTTGTATTAATGAGGTAGTGCCAGATCTTAATCAAAAACCTGCCTGCCTGGTGAGGCTGCCTTGCACCGGATTCATTGGAGGTAATTTGATCTTGGTAGGACGACATTCCTAAAATAGTTGAGGGAATTCGAACATGAAATCAGGTTTCCAGGAAGGGATTAAAGAAAAATAGGTCAAGCAAGTGTGAGCAATGAAAGTAACCCCGTATCCCTCCGTATGGGTTAAACACATCTCTGTTCAAATCTGTCTGGTGTCAACGTGTCATAAATTAGAAGCAAGAGGCTGCCGAAAGCAGAGGGGCAGATACAAGGTTTTCCTGTGGGGTTGGCTGAGCTGCCGTGACCTTTCCTCCTCCAGCTTTCACTGCTGACATCAAAATGCATTGGTCCCAGCTGGGAGATCGGCGTGTGCTGGGGCTGGGCTTAAAGGTGGCAGCAGGCGGGTGGGCGGCCATGCAGGGACATGCCCTGGGTCAGTGCTGCTCTAAGCTGCATTGCTGGCTTGCTTTGCTGCACAAGCATTGGTGGCCTCAGCTGCTCCTGTGCAGTCTGAGCACTGTGACCAGTGCCGGCATCCCCCTGGATCACATGCATGCGTAGGTGCCAGAGCCAAGCTCAAGCTCAGAGCCTCCTCCCAGCACTCCACTTGCCTCACTTTACCCATCTGCACGCAGCACAAGGTGCCAGCCAGCAGCCCTGCAGCGCTCTGGGGCTGCTCATGGACACACTGCTGGTGCCAACACTGCACTGCAGGCAGTCCCATCCTGCAGAGCCCTCACGCCATATGGCGCACAGCCCCATCCTCAGCCACTTATCCCTCCCTTTGTGCTCCTGGCTCAGCACAAACCCTTGCACAAAAGCAGTGGGGAGCTGCAGAGAGCAAAGGAAAGATAAATTCTTGCAGAGACAAAGGTGCTCAGCTCTGGCAGTTTGGGAGCAGGTTTTGTCAGTCTGCACCTCACTGCTTCCAGGCTCACACAGGAGCTCAGCAGGAAGAAAAACAATGGTTTGGGGCAGGCAGGCACTCAGGGCCTGACCGGTGCCAGCTCCATGACACCGTGGTGCCGCAGGGCCTCCGGTCCCCAGGATCTAAGGGCCATCACTCAATGCGCAAAGGAACAAAAATGGGTATTGATTCGCCGAAGGCTGCGTGGAGCAGAAGGAGCGCAGAAGTTTCTATGGAAACAAAATGAGTGGAGTGAAACTCTCACTCCTGGGCACGGTAAATTATTTACCAGGACAGGCCCTTGTCCATTAGGATCTGGTAAAAAGATTTAGAAGCGGTCATTACGCAGGCTGCTCGCAGCCACCTCGGTCAGGTCACTGAGATCACGGCCACCGAAGAGGGCAGACATAGGGTGGATGAAGCCCACTGCTGCAGCTTGAGGACAGCTCAGAGCCCTGTCCCAGAGCAGAGCACTGCAGGCAGAAAGGATTAATTAAGCAGCAAACAGGAGTTCCTGGGTTTATGAGTCACTAAGCCATATGACCAATGGAAGCCCTGCAAAAGCACAGAGCTGACAATCTGGGCACTGCCGTGCCCTTGTTGTCCTGGGACACGGCATCATAGCATAACCATGCTGTTCTGTCTTCCCTTGTGCTCGGTGACATTGCTCAGCAGAGAAGAACCTGCCTGGAATACTACACCTCGCCTGGGACCGACGGTTAATTACTGACACAGCAGCCCTCCCCTTCAGGCACACCTCCTCCTCCAGCACACTGCGGCTTCAGGAGGGGGAGATAAAAGCCCTTGGAAGCCACAAGATCATGTTTGCTGCACTCCTGCTCCATCACAGTACATTGGGATTTGACACGGGAATGATACGGATCTAGAAGCCAGGACAGCACCCAGGGTTGCTCAGATCCAGTTGCCAGTGCTCCAGCAGCACACTCTGCCCAGCCACCAAACTAGGGCGCACTCCTCTTCCAAGCCCAGTCTCACTTCTACTTTGTTATTTTTAAGTTTGCATAATTAATTCACGCATAGCTCCGTCACTGCACTGTCCCAGTTGCTTTGGGCTCATCTGACAGCTGCAGTTATCAGCCAGGGAGGCTAAAAGTAGCGAGGATTTTATAAGCAGTGGTTTAGGACAAGCTAGAACACTCCATCAGCACAAGAGGATTAGCATGGCACCGCAGCTGTGCTGTCCGTCTGTCTGCCCCCAGCAGAGCTGTAAGCCCTCACGGCACCCCAGAGCTCCACATCCCCTCTCCAACACCACTCTCATTCCTTCCCAACCACAGGGAGCCTGGACTTGTCCCCGTGCGATGCCCCCGTGCCCCGTCCCTACCAGCAAGATCCCATTCCAGTACCTTGCAGCACTCCCGCTGAGCTCCGGACCTCCTGTGCACGCTGTCCTCGTGCCAGAGCTCCACTGCCGCCTGGAAACAGAGAGGGAGAGAGAAAACACTGTTAGAATGGGCTCTGTAACTGAGTCAAACACTAAGATCAGGTCAGGGTTGGAACATCACAGTGAGTGAGCCACAGGTGTGCCCTGCTCCATTTTCTATAGACAATCCACCCTTTTTCCCTCACTACCCTACTACTGCCCCATGGATGTAGGCGAGGGCAGGGATGGACGAGATGTCAGGAGAAGGAAGAAATGCCACCTCCAGGATCTGGAGCTCATTTTCCAGCAACTCAATGGAACAGGGCTGGGAGGAAGCACTGGGTGTCGGAGAGACATGGGAGTGCAGTCAGGCACCCATGGGGCACAGCAAAGCGCTGGGTGAACTCCTTCAGGGCAAAGGAAGCAGCTTCATTTATGTAAAATACTTCCAGATGTCAACAAAATCCACCCGGTCTGGACCCAGACAGGAGAGCAGTACCATTTGCAGCCAAACACACTGTGGGATTGTCACCAGTACCAACGAGGGCAGCTCCCAGGTTCAGTCCCACAGATGGCAAAATCTCCATGGTGCTGCCCCAGTGGCTACCAGCCCAGCAGCATGACAGGCTATGGAGCAGCAGCTCTGCACAGCACCCTGGCCATGCATCCTGCCCACAGCACGGACATGGCAGCATGGCACTGGGAAGCCACCAGGGCTTCTCCCTTCCTGCTGGCTTGGATTTTAAGATACTTGTTTGTTTGTTTGTCGCTGGGCAACCAAGAGAGGATGGAAAAAAAAAAATCAATATCACATTGTCACCTATGAGTCACTGCTCCCAGCTGGCTGAAATGCCCCATTCTTTCCCCAAGATGCTGGGGAAGCCTTGAGGAAGGGGGAGAAGAGGCCAAAGGTGCCCCACGGCCACCAGCACTACCCCAGACCTCTGCCCCATCCTCCTCCTGGTGCCCACAGGCAAGGACACTGGCTGGTGGCCCTGGGATGAAGGCAGTGAAGGAATTTGCATTCATATTTGCATTTCCTAATTGCACCTCCGGGTTTCCTGGGACAGCGGCCGGGTTTGGTTTCCATGGCAGGTTTTGTGCGGGCTAGGAGAACTGAGGAGGGCACAAAGGGGCCACAATGGACCTGCCACTCACCAGCATCAAAGGCAGCACCAGGGAGGGGGCACCACCACATCTCCCCCGGCACTGCCAGAGCCAGACCACGAAGCCCTGGAGTGGGCAGTGCTTGAAGGACAGCAATGGCTTTGGCACTGATCACAGCTGCTTGGGACGTTAGTTTCTGGTTTTTTTAAAGGTTGATGGTTTCAAGGAAAGGCTCTGCAGGGCCTCCTGGCACCTCTTAGCCCATTCCCAAAATGCGAAGTTAATCAAAAGCCTTGTTTTAACATTTTCCAGTTGAAAAGTCAGTGCGTTTTGGTGGTTAATACATGCGTCAGGGACAGCTAACAGCACGGATGTTCAAAAGAAGCTTTAAAAAAAAAAGCAGTTTGAAATTTAAACAAAGTGTCTCAACTGACCAGATCCAAACTTTCTCAAGTTACACCACACCAAATGAATGGCTGAATAAACAAATTGTCGGTTGATCTTCTGTCCTGACTGTACGTGGAACTCAGCCCAGCAGCAGCCGTCTTCACACCAGCAGCCACTCAGGGTCCACACCGGCAAAGCACCCACAGCAGGTGAGGTAGGGGTAAGGGGGATTTGCTCTGGTAGTGCTTGAGTGTTGCAGTCCTGCAGATCCACAGGGCTGAGCATGGCATAGCTCAGCACGGCACAGCAGCCCCACTCCTGCTCCCAAGGAGCAGCCAGAGGGGAAGGGCAGGAGCAGCCCCACAGCGTGCTGTGATTGACAGTCCTTCAGCAGACAATCCAGGGGCAAGGACATTTTTTGAGCAGAGTTTGGTAATGCCTTTTTAAGTTCCCCATGACCGCTGCCATTTGATCACTCTGTTCTCACAAGCTTTTACCCCTCGTGCCACGGGCACCAACAAAAGCTGCCACGTCACTGTCACAGCCAGATCACATGCACCGAACCTGACTTACACCTAACCTGCAGGTACCTGAGATGATGGAATAGAGAGGCTCTGAGCTCCAAGTAACAGGCAAACTGGGACAAACAGCCACCAAAAGCAGCCTGAGTCACAGCACTGCCACTCATGCCCACAAGCACCCATTGATATCAACAGCACACACAACCCAAGGCAGAAGGCAGCAGCACACAGCTACTACCCTGAGACTTTGTCCTCATGGCAACAAACCGAGTGCGAGCCACCTTCCAGCTCTCCTCCCGGCCTTCCCTGTCCAAACAGGGCTGTCTGCCACACACAGCATCCCTGTTATCTTTACTTGCACAACGTGCTTTGGTGCAGGTTGATAAGCGCTCGCTATCACTGGGGGATGCCATACACTGCTGCACACCCCCACCAGCCCCGCGGTGCCCACACACACGGCCTGGAGCCCTGCAAAAGAAAATCCCACACCGTGACACCACAGACCCAGCTGGGTGCTGGTGTGAGGGGCTGTTCAAGATGAGCGTGATGGAAGAGGCAAGGAGCAGAAGGCTTCCCTGGGCGCCCCTGGGAACCCCTGCCAGGCATCCCCAAAACGAGGGTCAGCCCAGGACAGCTGGGTTTCCTCACAGATATTGTCACCCCCACGTTTATTTTCAGTGGCAGCAGCGGGAGGAGGTGTGAGGAGGAGGTGCGACTGATGCTTTTTTAAAAATAATAAAAAGGAATCTTCCAAACTGCCTGAGGAGGCTGACAACGCTCCAGCGCTGCTTTGAAGTGGTGATTTCCAGGGGTGAGGCAGCTCTGGCTCTTCTCTGTTGCCATTCGCACACGATAACTGCACGGGGAGCCCCGGGGGCACGGGGAGCCCCACAAACCTCCATCCCCGCCCGGAGGGGCAGCTCAGCACTCAGCCCGAGGGCCGCAAACAGCTCCAAGACCACCGGCACTTCGGATCGCGGGGCCTGACGCACCTCCCGCGTTAAGCTCTTCGATCCGTCCCCAACAGCCACGTCCGGGGTTGAAGCATCGCTCAGTTACTGCGGAGCAGGGGCACGGGATGGCGTCCGGGCACCGGGCCGCCAGAGTCCGCAGGAAAGCACCGCGGCTGGGCGCCAGGGCGGGCACCCCACGCAGGGGCAGCACCGCAGGCCGCCCGGCCGCGCTGGTCAGGGCCCGCCGCGCCGCGCACACAGGCGCTTCGCCCCGCCGTGCCGCTCCTCGCAGGGCTCTCCCGATGCGGGACGGCCTCGGCGGGAGACGCCCGAGGGGCGCAGCCCGGCAACGGGACGGCGAGCAGCCGGGGCCCGGCCGCGGTGCGGGCCGCCGGAAGGAGGCTCTCCCCGGGGCCGGGCCGCCGCCGGAGCCCCCCGCGGCTTCAGCCCGCGCTCGGCCGTGCCGTGCCGCCGCTCCCCTCCCCGCCGCCCGGCTCCGGCCGGCTGCCCCCGAGAAGCCGTGCCCGGGCCCCGCGGACGCTGAGCCGGCGGCCCCGTCCCCCGCGGGCTCGGCCGAGCCGGGGGCAGCTGGCGGGCGGGCGGGCGGGCCCTCCTCGGGGCCGCGGACCCTCCCGCTCCCGCTCCCGCCCGGCCCCGCCGAGGCTCCGCGCCGCGGCCCGCACAGGCCGGGAGGCACCGCCCGCCCCGCTCGGCCCGACCGCGGCGCACAAAGAGCCGAGCCCGGCCCGCCCCCCTTACCGGCGCTGCGGGGGCGGCGGCAGGCACGGACCGCGCCGGGAACCATGGAAAGGAGCCGGGACGGGAGACGGACGTGGCTGGCGGGCGGGCGGGGCGGGGGCGTTCGCCGTGCCCGGCAGCTGGGGGCGGCGCGGCGGGGCCGGGGCCGGGGCGGCTCGGGGTGGGGAGGGGGGCGGGGGGGCGCGGGGCCTAGCGGCGGCCCGGCCGAAACGCAGCCGGGGCTCTCGGGACCCCTCCAACCCCGGGGCGCGGGACCGCCCCCCCGGCGCAGAGCCGCGCGGCCCCTTCTGCCCGCCCGGGGCGTCGAGGGCGCAGCGCCGCCCGATCCGCGCAGGCCTCGCTGCGGGCCCGGCCTCGGTGCGCGCCCCGCTGCGCCCGGCGGGACGGCGCGGGACCGGGAGCGGCACCGCCGTCTGCGTGCGGGCTGCGGCCCCGCCGCTGCTCTCGGGCTGTTCCGTATCCGCAGGGCGGCACAGGTCCCGGCTCCCAGGCCGGAGTGCCCCCACGACGACGAGACGGCGCTCCTGCCCCGAGGGCCGCGCATGAGATACGGATTATAACAAAGCATCACTTCAACCACAAACAGAAAGCAGCCGCCTCCGGGATCCATTGCTACAGCATCTGACAGCTTGCAGCCATACCACATAACAGCTTAGGACAGGAAGCGATCTCCTCTTACAAATTACAGGAGTGAATTTACATAGGGCAAACGCTTCCCGTCTTGTAGAGACCAGGGCGAGACCGCGAACGGCAGCGGCTGAGCACCTCGCAGCTCTCCGAACCCTTCCCGACGCGGAAGGAAAGCTGTGCCTCCCACGGCACCCGCCAGGGTCGGGGTCAGCCAGACCAGCAGGGAGCACGGCTGTGGTGCTGGACCCTAACGTGCGTTTGGGATGGTCCAAGGATCTTGTAGCTCAGCCCTCTGTCAGAGGTTTTTTCCCCACTCAGTCATTTCGTCCGCGTCTGGCAGCTCAACAATCCTTTGCCTGGGTAAAAATCTGCAAGGCTTTGACAGCGAACACAGACAGCAGTGAGAGCAAAAACATTAGAGGCAAATCTTTGGCTTTCAGTGAGTACAAGTACATATGCCACAACATTTGCCTTCGCAAAGTTAAATACAGATCGGTGCATCCTCAGTGCCTTGCAGCGAGCTTTGTGACTGAAATATCTTTTTCGAATCCAGCCTTGCTTCAGAGGGAACAGGTGATCAAGTTTCTCTGCTGTCCTTTGATACGGATCCTTGCTGCAAATGACACTAGCAAGGAAGAAGAAATGGGAAAAGAAACGCACAACTATTAAGAAATAAAATAGTGAGTTTAATTCAGCGAGTTCCAACTAAATTGATAATTCTCTGGGGGAAAAAAAAAATGTCATGGAAAACACAGAACACAAGTTTTTCTTTGACAGTTGGCAATAACAACTTTGTGAAAAGATGAGTGCAATATCTCTGCCTTTTCTGAAAACCAAAAGGTTCCATATGTTCTGAAAGTCCCCTTTGTCATTTTTACTGGTTGGGTTAATTTTGGAAGTCAGGACAGCAGAGGTCTGTGCTCTCTGATGTAAGCTAAAGTCCGGTGCCCACGTTGAAATGTTTTTACACATGAAGAAGCATCTGTAAAGAAAAACCCGGGGCTTCTTGGCATGATTCGAATTAGCCCATAAACCTGAAGAACCAAAAAAACCCACCTTGTTATTACTTTGAAGAACAAAAGCCCATCTTCCCCAGCAGCCTGACTTGGGCTTCAGAGAGAAGCAAGCAGAAACAATCCACCAAGAACACTCAGCCAGCCGTGATGGGGAGCTAGCTGGACGGCACAGCTGAGTTTTTCTTAGCACTGAAATACTTTTTCCAAACCAATACCAAAAAAGGTTTGTTTCTAGGTCAAGACCTCAGCACTAAATTTTAACCAGGAGTTGACAGTCAAGTTTTAACACAGCCGTAAAATGGATTCACAGTAGAAGCTCAGGCATTCTTTTTCTAATTAGAAAACAGTCCCTGAGCCTCGTGCATTTAAAGGTGAAAGCTATTTTTGACATAAAAGTTAGCACGTAGTTCCTGTGTCACCCTTCAGTTGCTGTTCTGGAAGCTGTGAGTGAGAGATCAAGGATAAGCAGCAAGCATAAACATGATGCATTAAATAACAGGTAGAAAGGGACTTAGTTTAAGCTTTCCTCCGCCTGACAATAATGCGAGGAGATGATTCATTTTTACACTTACTATTTATCCTAAGCAGCACTGATTAGAAGGTCCACATGAGCACAAGGAAAGAAACAGGTCTGAAAGACATTCACAAATGTGAAGTGCTTTTAATAGCTGCCTTTGGAAATACTGTTAAATCTGATTGTGAGATGGGTAGTCTAAGGCACCAAGGAAGCAAGGCAGTTTGCAGAAGGACTCTGCACTGAACAACTGCGGTCCGCCCTTCAAGAACTCAGCTCCCATATGGGATCCTGGGCAGCAGGGTTAAAAACAAACAGAATATGCGATGCTTTCAGAAACCTGGCTGTTCTTTAAATGCTAATTTTCCTTCTTTACTTGGTGGGACTCTAACAGCTCTGACTGTTTTCAGCAGTTTTCAAAATACGTCTCCGTGACCATTTCTAAAATAAAAGTCAGCCAAGAGTGAACAGAAATACAAAGGCTTATCGGCACGTTAATGCCACGCGCTGATCCCCAGGAGGCCCTGCCCCTTTATGTAACATGGATTGTTTCAGCTAAAACAGCTTATTGCTCTTTGGTGTTTTTTCTTTAAGCACAGACATTAGATACCTCCTTCCGACTGAAACCCTCCTGGCCCTCGTTGTGAGGGAAAAAACGCAATGGGAACCAAAATTTAATTGCGCTAAGAGAATAACACACACGCATTTTTCTCTCTTGCCTGTGATCTACATTTGAAGAAAAGAGCTCACCAATTTACATCACTCAGGTGTAACTCCCCATGGCAGGACACAGAAGGCCCACCCCTCAGCTCTCCTCAGCCCAAACATCCCCTGACAGCTGTGGGCACTCCAAGCAAAGAAGAGATGGCCTTGGGAAGGCCACTGGCACGGCCTGATGGCAGCTTTGGCAGCCATGCTGCAGTGCTTACTTCCTGCTGGCCCACCTCCCCGGAATCCAGCCAGCACCAAAGCATCACCGCAGCTCTCCATGCACAGAGGTGAGTTTTCATGTCACTGAGCTGCTCTGCCCTCCGCAGCACAAATCCTTCCAAAGCAAAATTCAGTTTTGTAAAACTACCGGTCGGTGCTACGCCGTTACCCTACCACCGAATGCTTATAAAAATGGCAGGAGAAAAAAAAAATAAATCAGAACCCTTTTGAACCACTTGCAATTGGAGACCCGAATGGACTTGATGTGAAAACCAACTCAAACCTAGAGAAGCGACCTGCTTGCTTCCTTGGGCGTTGGACAAGATCCAGCTTAAAAGTTTCCATGAAATAAACTAGGCTAAGCACATCGGCTGCACAGAAACACTCGGTGTAACGGGAGCATCTGTCCTTCACATCTACGGTTCGCTGAGAGCCTTCATTTCCCATGGCTGAGGGGACACGAGTTGCCACACCAATCGCTGGCGCTGCTGTGGCCACGCGTGCCTCCCCCTGCAGCCAGCCTCGTGCCGGCGGCGCTGCGGATGAACCAATCTCACAAGGCAGCGTGCACAGGGCACAAACTGCTTGACCAGGCAGCCTCGGGTTGTCAGAAAACAGCTTAATGTATTTCGTATGATGGCATTACAAGTGAAATTAATGTCTGCGTTGAGACAGCTGAGGAGCACACCTCGGAACCATTTATGCACAGCAAAAGCAAATGTTTACCCAAGTACGAATGAAACAGGTTGACAATTAGCTAATGCAGCTTTGTGGACATAAACCAGGTACATTTGAGCAGAACCAACATAAAATAAAAAGGAAACAGCCCTTTTCCTATCCAGTGCTAAGAGCACCACGGTGAGTGGTCAGGGAAGTCTCTGGTACATTGAAAAATTTCCGTGCCAGTGTTTAATGTGTTTATTCTACTGCTACTCTGCCGGGATAAAAATAACACCAGCAGGGCACGCTGGCGGGACGATGGATCCCCTGTCAATACTACAGTAATTGACAACATACAATTAAGTCTCACACCTGTTTATTGTAAGTAATTCATAGATAACCACTTCTCGTACACATTTTCACATTGGCTTTTAATGCTTTTGTTTTTCAAGCTCAGGGACACCCAAACTTCATCTAAGGGTCATCTCTGCAGTTTACCCAGATCCAGAATGCCATACCTACTACGTAAAACTGGTGCAAGTTGGTATCACTGAGGTGGGTAACAGAGATGGCTTGGAAACTACACAACCCAACATGCAACGCCCGGCAGCACGGGCTGCTCTACGCTAAGGGAGGAAGATTTTTTTGCTGGGGTGCATTCAACTCGCATGCCTCATGTTGGCCGTATCAGCCTAAGTCATGCAGCTGTCTGCACGCAACGCTCTACACAGTGCAAAAACGAAGACGTCTATACA